GGGGCGAGTGAGGCAAAGCTCTCCTCACTGCGCAGAAATCCGCTGACGCCGAGCAAGGGGTCGGAACTGGGGTCCCGTCCGTAACCCGGCCCCCTAAGAGCTTCGGGCTCCACCCGTTTTGTTCTGGGAGAAACGTAGGTGTAGCGCGGCGCCATCAATGCGGGCTCCTGGTCCGTCGACTAAGGGAACCGGCGGTCGTGTTGCTGGCGGCCACAGGTCCGGCGTCTGGGGGACGGCGGGACGGATGTAATATTCTCTGCGTAAACCCTGTCCCGCCGTCTCAATAGCTCCGACTTGGTTTCCGCCCGGTCCGGGGTAGGGCGCCGGCTGTGAGCGGCAGGAGTTTTTAGTGAGGTTCGACTCCCACATACCCCACCTGCCGTGCGGGTAGGGATCCGGCGATTTACTACTGTGGAAAAAAAAAGAAAATCGTATATTCCGTCGGTTGTAGGAATATCTTCTTTCTCGTGGTAGAGAAGAGATAAAAAAACTGTAGACTGCTTCCATCCATAGAGCAAAGAATCATAGCACTCAATACTATCATAAATCAGAATTAGATAAAATACTCGAAACTCTTGTACTGTTATTTCATTATTTGAGTGAGACCTGGGTACTGCGAGAAAACGCCTTTGTAACCAGATCCAAAATTTCATTTTAAGTCACAACGCACAAAATTAAATAGAAACTATTAGCTTTTATATCCACAAAATCTCCTGTTCTAGACATTTTTATTGCCATTGATTAATTAAGTAGTAATGACTGTCCTAACACTGAGTTTAATACTGTTTAATACTATTATGGTTTTTAGTACAACCTTCCAACAAATATATCCTATGTTTAATGTAACAATCAAAGCCAATAATCTTTCTATTTTGTTAGTCGATTTCATTTAAAATTACATTTTTTTTATGTCTACACTATTGACTAGTACAGTATATGTACACAATTATGTCTACATACTAAAAATGCCTACTGATTTTTTTGCTTTTGATGAATAATTCGCAGACGTGTTTATTATTTTTAATGTTGGCTAAAGCGATTTTTTGTTAGAGCCGTCATAAATTCCATAGCTTTTTTGAATCAACATAAAGTCCAATTGATATTCGGCAGCTATAAAACAAGGAAAACATGAGTAGCCATGTTACGTGCAGTAATAAAATTCTTGTCAAACTGGCCGAAACAGGATTTGTGCAATAACAAATGAAGTTTTCTTTTATTGAAATTATCGATATTGTCGGCATCAAAACAACACCTAGCCTTCCTCGGACACTCAGTTTCTCGATCGACCGACTAGAGTGCAGTCGCAAAGAAAATATTTTTAATTTAAAATGCAATATTTTTTTCGTATTTTCGTAGTTTTGGTCGGATATGCTTTATGTGAAATTAATTTTTATGAAAACAATTCTGTCGAATATGATTCTAGTGTTGAATATAATCAAGACATTGATTACGATTCAGAGTATACAGAATTTAATTATACGGGATTTAATTTTACGGGATTAAATATTACAGAAATTTTCGATTACAGTTTTATTGATGAAAATGTCGAGTTAGAATATGCGTGGACTAATTGCTATTTTGATATTGGCGGTGTAACATGTAAGTACAGTATCAGATGATTTAAATCAATTTATGTGTCAAAATTTAGGGTCTCTTCGGGTCCCTTTCGACCGATGGTAAAACCAAACGATATTACTCGTGTCTATGAACCAAGGTGTCTACCATGAGGTAAGTGGTATCCATGAGAATTTGTAGGAAACAAATATGCAACTTACGCAATTTTGTTGAAGACATTATTTTGTTCGAGATGTGTTTCTAAGAAGTGGTTCCATTTTCCCAACTGGAAAGGCGAGGGTGTGATACCACACAGCCTAACTTTTTTTTATGAAAAATGCTATATAGCGAAATGAAATGAAGTTGATTAATTTTAGGCATTAATTGAGAAGAAATTAAAAGAAACATGGGATGAAAAAAAAATTCATTAAAACGGTGGTTGTTATTTGATTATCTGAGACTTTTTCAGTGGACTTTTTGGAGGATCCCGAGAAGCTACTTCCAGCGGCCTTGTTTCGTTTTCCTACATTTGTGCACTTTTACAGATACTGAACAGTTAATAAACCAACGTTATTACACATTTAAACCTGAAGAAACACTAAATAGACAAAATAAAACAATTCAGGTGAACACCTTCGTTCCTCATGTTGACGCTAAAGATTCCACAACATTGAAAATTGCGGTTTTTTTTTAATGCCCTTGTAGGCAGACGAGCATACGGCCCACCTGATGGTGAGTGGTTACCGTCGCCCATGGACTTCAGCAATGCCAGGGGCAGAGCCAAGCCGCTGCCTACCGAGAGCCAAGCCGCTGCCTACGATCGATTGCGTCTCCCAAGATAAATTTTAAGTATAGAATGTCATTCGTTCAAGGCTTATTTTATATTTTAGATTATGACAGTAGTGACGTAGAATTCAAAGAAGGCACTATTCATTTTGTTGAAGAAGAACTGACCGAAGAAGAGAAATTTTATATTAAAAATAATAACAGACCATTCGCGATTGATGGCGGTTACACTGGACTTGGATATTTCATTACAATCCCAAGAACAGAACCTGGTAACATATTATTATTTGACACTAATCTAATATTTATTTGTCTAAAACTGAGGCACATACGAATCAATTATGGGCTGAAATGGCACTAAGCAGAGGATATTCCTTGAAAAACAAATGTTGTTGAGTAGAAATCGTAGTCTGGAAGATCGTGAGTGAAATTTCCAAAGGTGGAACAATGACCTCATTAATTGTTTTTGTGTCAACATTTTTAGGCAATGCATCATCGTTCGACATTCGAGACTGTGAATAGACATGCCGGAGTCGAATTATCATAACTACTTTTCGATTAGTCTCGGACAACTAATCCAAAAGTTGTTTTAATTATGTCTCTTTCGAGCGAAAACCAAATAAAATACTATGATTACAGTAATTATTAATACAGGGTGTTACAAAACTATCCGTTGATAGCCCGAAAAGGAAGTTAAATGGGACCTTATAACGAGTTCATTCACAATATTTAAGAACAGTAGTAGTGCTGTATAACTAACTAAAAAAAAAATTTTTTTTCGCTGTTGTGCAAACGCTATTTCAGTAGCGAATTGCTATTTCAGTAAAATTAAAGAGTAATAAACTACATTTCTACCAAATTCGCAGAACGACAAAAATTTTAAAAGACCTAACTTAACGAAACAACCTAAAAGAGCACTTACTTTTTATATAAAGGTGTACAAATAAGTTTCCGCCGTTTTGAGGAAGATGGTGTGGCACGAGGTTTACGTTCGAATTCACAGATGATAATCGGCTTGAAAATTAAATTGATCATTTAAGAACAACTTAACCCTATCATATTATTAACTCCGTATTAGCATCATATATATTTTTTTATCCAAAAATGTTAAAATTTGAATCAAATAATCTTCATTTGCGGGAACTCTTAATTTACTTTTTTAATTTAAAAAAATCTGCAGCCGAGGCGCATCGGTTGCTCGTAAAAGCATATAATGAGGCTGCCTTGAGTGAAAGAACATGTCGTGAGTGATTTAAAAAGTTTAAAAAAGGTGATTACGGTAGAAGACAAAGATCGCAGTGGAAGGCCAAAAATTTATTAGGATGCAGAATTGACGGAATTATTGGAGGAAGATTCGTCTCAAACACAAAAAGAACTTGCACTTACTTTAGAAGTCACTCAGCAAGCAGTCTCACATCGTTTCAAATCATTAGGAATGATTCATAAGCAAGGTAATTGGGTTCCATACGAATTAAAGCCGAGAGATGTTGAACGCCGATTATGCATGAGTGAAATGCTGCTAGCTAGGCACCAAAAATAAAAGTTTTTTACATCGAATCGTCACTGGTGATGAAAAGTGGATACATTATGATAATCCAAAAAGAAGAAAATCATGGGGACTGGCCACGCGTCAACATCCACAGCAAAACCGAATATTCATGGAAAAAACTCATGCTGTCTATTTGGTGGGATCAGCTGGGTGTGGTGTATTACAAGTTGCTTAATCCAGGCGAAACAATCACTGGAGCTCTCTACAGAATGCAATTGATGAGATTGAGTCGAGCTCTGAAGGAAAAACGCCCTCAATACTACTCCAGACATGACAAAATTATTCTGCTCCATGATAATGCTCGTCCGCATGTAGCGCGGTACCGGTGAAAAATTATTTAAAAACACTTAATTGGGAAGTACTACCTCACCCGCGGTATTCACCAGACATTGCCCCGTCTGACTATCATCTGTTCCGGCCAATGGCACAATCATGGTCAATGCTCTGTCGGAGCAGCGGTTTACATCATATGAAGATACCAAAAATTGGGTTGATTCGTGGATGCCTCAAAAGACGAGGAGTTCTTCAGCGTGGAATCCAAACTCTGCCTGAGAGATGGGAAAAAGTAGCTGCTAGTGATGGACAATACTTCGATTAAATTTAAATTACCGTTCTTTCATAATAAATATTATTTTTTCGACAAAAAACAGCGGAAACTTATTTGTACTCCTAAATAAACCTCAAATTTATAGAAACGGCTCAAAGTGTGCTCCGCCTTGCTCAATACACAACACAACCTCGCTAGCAAATATTTATGAGTGAAAAATAGAAAAACTATTAAAGTAGACAATTATTAGGTAAAATAAGTACATACGTAGGCCTTTCTGCTAAATAACCTAGTTCCCTGACATGACAGCTTACAAGGGTTGACAATATTTTTTTTTTAATTAATTAGTTATTTTATGGGGTATTTTGTAACACCTGGTATATGAAGATGAAATATCAGCCATTCTTCACACAATATTGTTTTTAAGGAATACCATCAACAGTCAATGTTATAGATGAAAGCGAAGTATACATTAGTCCGGATTTTAAGCCATTCCATAACAAGCAAGGCGACAAATTAGTTTCAGTTTATAAAACGTTCTACGATTTTTGTCAGAGACTATGGATGGTCGATACCGGATTGATTGATATACCAGGTAAGATTTAAATGATACGATTCTGACTTAGAAGTTAAATCGGTGCTATTTAGTAATGAGGCCGTTAGTACAACAAAATAAAAATAAAATACATAATATTTTGAGTTTTTGTTTATTTGCAGTAGTTTTTTTTTCCTAATTCAATGATATAGTAGCACGAATTAAGTTACTGCCACAATTAGTACTAGATGATGACCTAGATGATTTTTTTTTGATAACGCCATCTTGTTATGTCTTTAAAGTGGTTAGTTGACCTCAATTAAGAAAAATAGTATTATTATTCGCCAATAGATGTCGGGAAGAGTTGATTATTGAAAACACGAATAAAACAACATTTTCTGAAAATAAATCGTAGCTAGATCGATTTATCGCCCCCGAAATTCCCTGTATACTAAATTTTATGAAAATCGTTGGAGCCGTTTCCGAGATTCAGATTATATAAGTATATATTAATATACAAGAATTGCTCGTTTAAAGGTATAAGATATTCATGGTTGACGAATCTCAATCGAGCGAGTGGGAACAGTAAACACATTAATTAACCTTTGAACACTTTATGTGATAATCATGATACTGCTTTATTGTCATATTAAATCATTTTTATTAATTTCAATTGTAAATGAAGTAAATTAAAAATGAGCAAAAAAATGAATGAAGAAATAATAATATGATTATAAATAATCTTTATTTATATATTAATATATTTCTATTTTAACAAAAAACAATATAAGGATATATATTTAAAAAATAAACCTTTTTTTTTATAGAACAAAATCTTGATTTGACATTCTGGTGTTGGTTTTAAGTAATATTACGCATAAATTATTTTAAAGGTGCACGAAAACAAGTGAAACACCCTTCACTAGCAGCTTATAGACAGGGCACTGATCATTTGATATTCAGTTTTGACATAAGCCCTGCAGTGCTGATCAACGGTACAGCTACTGAAGGTAAGGAGTATGTAACCCTGTTGTATAATATGTTGGTGGTGTTGAGCCATAACAGAGAGACACGAGAAAAGGTAGTTACAACAGGATAGAATACAGATGAATGGAATGAATTTGATGATGGATTCACAGACAGAAATTAGGGAGAGACTTGAGTAGAAAAAAGCAATACAGCTATTGTGCATTTCATTGTATATTTCAGTAAGCAAAGTGATTTACGAATTGGGGTAATCATTTGTAAACCATACCAGATATCACAATCTAAGAAACTTGAAACTTAGGTCTGCTGCTGGCTGCGAATACTATGGCATTTGATCCTCTAAACCAGGAGCCCCTTGGCGCTAATTACAATCGACTGCACTTATACACAAGTTACTCTTTCTAGGCTAGTTGATATCATTCAGTCGAGTCATTGATGTGATGGATAGATACTGAGATACTGTATCTTTAATAACATGTAAAACAATATCAGTTGGATTCGCGACTGGAGCCAGCGCTATTAAAAACTTCGTGTGTGAGTTAAGGTAACATAATATGTACTTAGACGAACCTTATTTCAGTGAGATCAGTATTCGCAGATAGCATAACTAGCAGCCACCTTTAAAAATAAAAGTTTATCTATTATTACAGCAGATGTATGTGATGTATCAAATGTATGTACATACATCATTATGTATATATTATTACGTATATCTACGACAATTAATTAAATAGATTGAATTGTCTTTATTAGTACTATTAGTAAAATATATATTGAGCTACTTCTGTTTTTTCAGGTCTAATGATATTAGGCGTAGACACTGGTCGAAGTAAATGTAATGACACATTTGTTTATATAACGGATCAAGCTATAGACGGAATAATAGTATTTTCATTAGAAGACACTGCCTTCACACGGCTCAATGTTACCGATTTAAATCACTTCCCAACGGATTCGCCGCACTTTGAGTTCCCGCGTAAGTTTTCAGTCTTTATGCAAGCATTACATACTATAGCGTTGGAAATTTTGAAACTATGGACAATTTCGAGAACAAAACAAGTTTCACGTCATTTTCTATTAACATGTTCGCGTGAGCAACCTCATTTCTGAATATTGCTACTGTGGCGCATCTTTTTCCCATACAAAGTTTAGCAACGTCTAAAAACGTCCCGCCGTAATACGTACATCTTAAATATGATGATTTTTTTAGGGAACGCGGCGGTGTAGGTTATGAAAATCGAATGTGTTCCGGCGCTAAGTAGATGCGCCATAGGAATTTACCCATAAAATAGACGTCCAAAGACGTTCGGACAAAACAAATATGATAATCTAGAGGCCGTCATATTATGACGTTGCATCATTTTATAATTTCAAAAACACGACGTTGTAAGACGTTGCTCACGCGAACGTGTTAATTTGAAGAATTTCTGAATTCTTCTTAAACGGTTGGAAATGGTTTATCTGATTATTCGTGTTGTTAAAGGCGTATGTGACTGTTGCTTTTAATCTACTCTAATTATTATATTAACCATTTTACTTTTTATTTATTTGTTTTATAGGAGTGCCAATAAATTTTATAAAATACACATTAACATCGAATTTAACGACTGGAAGAGAACGTTTGAAGTCATTTACTGATATCATGATGTCTACTCGTGGATCTGAGGCTGCGAACTTATGGGAAAGCGAACTGGAAAATCTTGATATCGTATGTTTTCAAATATGTATTTTTATTATTCGTATTTTTCTGAATTTTTTTTAAACGCTGCATAAAAACCGCATGCTTTGCTTATCTATAATAGTGTGTATGAATTAATACATATAATCCTCATTTCGTATTGCACGACCAAGCAACTGTCATATATTATAATAAAAATGAGATTTCAACATCATATTTCAAGGTGAACAATGACATTCGAGCTAGGATATTCACGGGCTACTGTAATTAAATAATTTCGTTGATATAAAAAAAACCCATCTATAAGATATTATGTCTTAAATCCTTAAGCCTTTTGGAAGTGCGACTTCTTTCGGCGCGTTCAGAATAAAATTTAAAACGCGAAAGATTCGTTACGGCTAGAGAGAAAAGATAAAATTTAGGAAGAGCGAGAGTGAGAAAATAGACGGAGCGTCTCGCGAACCACTCGACCGTGGAGAGAGGGAAACGACAAAGCGAGCTAGGTCGTTTCTCTTATACATAACAGTAATTTAATTTAAGGATGAAAAATGAAGAAAACCACAATAATACACAACGCAAAAGAAGTTTCACTTCTTTCACGTGTACCAAGTTACACGCGCATCATTTTTTACGTATAACTAAGTTAATGGTGAAAAAAATTGTTTCAGGATCTTCTTGAGAAACGAAAGTTTTTGTTCTCTCTCAGCATTAATACCAATAACCTAGTATTTGTTAACAAAGCGAGAAACGGTGTGCTAAGCTGGAATCTGGAGACTGAAATGATACCTGAGAACGTCTGTGATGTAGCAAAGCTAAATTCCACTTCGTCACTTTACATATCTGGTATGAACATTTAAGCTTAAGTCAGTAGTATCTGCATAAATCATATTATAAATCTCATAAATCTGTAGACAAGCCTAGCCGCCAGAACTTAGCTCTATAGGGGCTATCTCTAGGGGTGTGCTCATTGCATTGTCCAGTATAACTCACAATCCACAATGTTTGTGAGAAAAAAGGCTCAGCACCAACCCCGCGATCTACATTATTGATGTCGCCGGTCCGTTGAACAAGTAGAGACGTTGAGTGTGTATGTTAGATTTGAACCAAGCAAGCAAACACTCTTTCACACAAGCATTCATCCTCTCCGTGAAAAAATTTCACCACTGTTTCCGAGTTCTGTCTTGGCGGGGACCGGTAGCTTGGGCAGATGAATGAAGGTGATATTAAGTGAATTCCTATATAGCCACTTAGAGTACTCTGCGAAAATATTGCAGATCGACGTTTCGAAAGAGACCATCGGCTAATTTCGGCTTTGTAGAGTGTTCTCTTTGTCACACGAACCACTAACAGCCCGATATCTACTAGGACCGCACTCCACCGTACTTGGACAATGTCTGACAAATGTAACATAGGTAGTTTTTTTGGAATAACGGATTACTGGTGGCCCGGAGGCCTTTCCAGTTTCATCAAAACAAATGGGCGAGCAAGGACTCAGCCAGGAGTACATAGGTAATATGTGACAGAGGCAATGCTCTACGAAGACAAAATTAGCCGACTGTCTCTTTTCGAAAGTCGATGTATATATTATTTTATTCTATATATTTTTTATACCCCATTCTGATGGATCGTTTGGAACCTCTGAGTCTACGGATGGACTTCAGTTTTCTTTGTATTTTGTACCGTATGTTCCATGGGGTGTGCTCTGAGGAATAGGGAATATGCATGTTTTTTTTTAATTTTTTGAACGATTCTACTAATTATCACTTTACCAAAAATAAATATAACACATCCGTAATACAAACCAATAGGCAATTTAAAAAAATGAAAATCACTACCATTTTGGCACGCTTTTTCTGTGACGTTTTAAAAAGTCGTCGCGGCCTAACTGATAAGACGTCCGGTGCATTCGTGTTGAGCGATGCACCGGTGTTCGAATCTCAGGCGGGTACCAATTTTTCTAATGAAATACATACTCAACAAATGTTCACGATTGATTTCCACGGTGAAGGAATAGCATCGTGTAATAAAAATGAAACCCGCAAAATTATAATTTGCGTAATTACTGGTGGTAGGACCTCTTGTAAGTCCGCGCGGGTGGGTACCACCACCCTGCCTATTTCTGCCGTGAAGCAGTAATGCGTTTCAGTTTGAAGGGTGGGGCAGCCGTTGTAACTATACTTGAGACCTTAGAACGTATATCTCAAGGTGGGTGGCGCATTTACGTTGTGGATATCTATGGGCTCCAGTAACCACTTTACACCAGGTGGGCTGAGAGTTCGTCCACCCATCTAAGAAATAAATAAAAAAAACGTCATATTATAGACGAATTCGAAGTTATTGTCAATAACGGAGCGAACTTCACAAAGTTATAAAAGTGATATTTTTGATGGACATTATGCTCTGGTGTTATTCTACCCGTTACGACGCATATATCTGTCTCTAGTTGTACTTGCATATATCCAATGGCTGAATCCCCATATGATTCTATGTTTGATGGGGAGTGCTCTGAGGATTTGTTCGAGATGATACCGGCATCTCCTTTTTACCATCGCACCGCCCGCCACCGGAGTAGAGTTCATCCACACTACCTGGAGCCACTGCGGTCATCCACAGTGCGTTTCCAGAGATCTTTTTTGCCACGTACCATCCGGCTATGGAGTGAGCTCCCCTCCATGGTGTTTCCCGAGCGCTATGACATGTCCTTCTTCAAACGAGGCTTGTGGAGAGTATTAAGCGGTAAGTAGCGGCTTGGCTCTGCCCCTGGCATTGCTGAAGTCCATGGGCGACGGTAACCACTCACCATCACGTGGGCTATATGCTAGTCCGCCTACATGGGCAATAAAAAAAAAAGAGTCGAAAAGTATTGCAACAGCTCCAATACACGGGACGATGATTTAGCTATACTAGGAGGATCAAAAAGCAATGAGAATGAGATAGAATATAATGACTATTCATAACTTAATGATTTATTTTTCTACACAGTCTTCGAGTCTCTCTACACACCCAGTCCAGCGCCTTTCCAAGGCTTCAATCCCTTTCAAAAAAAAAGTTTTGTCTTGGTCCTGCAAAAGGCTCTCCACGGCATCCATCACCTCGTTATCGTCTTGGTACCTGTTTCCCCTTAAGTATTCTTTCAATTTGGGGAACAGATAAAAATCCCTAGGCACCAGATCTGGTGAATAAGGGGGGTGGTCAACCAATTCTAAGCCAGCTTGCTGAATGGCAGCCATTGCAACAGCCGACCTGTGCGCCGGTGCATTGTTGTGATGAAACATCACGCCCCTTCGAAGTTTCCCTCTCATTTTCTGTTTGATGGCATTCCTAAACTTAGAAATTAAAGCTGCATAATATTGGCCTGTAATAGTGGCTCCACGTTCCAGGTAATCAATCAACAATATCCCTTCTGAGTCCCAAAATATTGAGGCTATAACCTTGCCAGCCGATGCCATGGCACGAAACTTCTTCGGGGTCGGTGATGATGGCCGTTTCCATTGCGAAGATTGCTGTTTTGTCTCGGGATCCAAATGATGGACCCATGGTTGGTCCATTGTTACGAAACGAGACAAAAAGTTTTCAGAATCTTCTTGAAACTTGTTCAACAATATCTTCAAAACGTCAAGTCGATTTTGTATTTGACTGTCGGTTAATATTCTCGGCACCCATCTTGCGGAGACTTTTCTCATATTCAAAGATTGTTTCAATATGGATTGAATACTTCCATATGAAATGCCGGCTTCTTGTATTAAGTATCGGATGGTAACTCTTCGATCGCTCGAAGTATGTCGTTCTCACTACTTTTTGATCCCTCCTCGTACTAGTGCCAAGCCAAAAGCGGATACTGACTTGACGTAGTCACGACATAGACTTTTAGCTGGCTATTTTCGTGTATGCATGATTGATGTAAGTGATTCACATTGCAGATGTCCTAGTCGTTGGAAATACAATGAAAATTTTGCTTAACAGAAAGTTAAACTCATTACCTTCTCAGAATCTCGGCAAATGGAACCATTTTATGTACACGTATGTAAAAGTTTTATTTATTTTATAATATGATACATTATTTTTTCTTATGTGAGAATCCTAGAATCACATCGAAGTACAAAAACTAGGTATTTCGTGCCAATTTTGAATAGCTTGGGTCTGTTTATTTGAAAACCACTTGTATTTTTCCTTTTCGCATCAAACTAAGACTATCTGAACCCATTTGTCTCAACTATTGGACAAATCAATGAAGATATCAGTGTTCGTAGCCCTCCAGGTCTTATCTGGCTACCAGTGCTTATGAACTACACAACGTAAAATCCTTCACTCACCTTGAGATGTCAAGTTGTAAAAAGTTTTCTACCTTTCAAACCGAAACGCATAACTACTGTGGAGTGAAACTAGATAGAATGGGATAACTATAACTTATACCCGAGCTGTAGTAAGGACCTATGAACCCATTTGTCTCAACTATAGGACAAATCAATGAAGACATCAGTGTTCGTAGCCCACCAGGTCTTATCTGGCTACCAGTGCTTCTGAACTACACAACGTAAAATCCTTCACTCACCTTGAGATGTCAAGTTGTAAAAAGGTTTCCACCTTTCAAACCGAAACGCATAACTACTGTGGAGTGAAACTAGATAGAATGGGGTAACTATAACTTAAACCCGAGCTGTAGTAAGGACCTAAGATCGCAATGACGATAACCATTAATGACAGGTTGAGCAGGTTCTAATAATAATAGAAAACAGCAAAAAAATTACCCCAAATGTACAGTTTGTTTGTTTTAGGATGAATTTTGATAGTGCGATTAAAGATACAGCGTGCTTCCTGAATAAGGACTATATTAATTTATATCATGGATACTATACGTAGTAAGAAAATAAACGTTCACTATAAAAAATCGTTTCATTATTATTTTGTTACAATGTTAAGAGTGTGTGTAGTGTAAGTTCTTGAGTACTAACTCAAAATCACTAAACAAATATTTTTTCCTAAAATATAATGAGGATACTGCTTTTGTCTACCCACGATGACATACCAAGACGTTTTTAATATAATCTCTAGTTATATAATACCAGAATTGAATTCAAAATTGCTTGAACAATTAATAGATGCTCACTCCGTTGCGCTTCTATGAGGAATTAAATAAATATATTTTATAACTGTATAATAATTAATTGTTTATAATAATGAAATGTTTTTATTTATATTGGGTAAATTATTTTTGTTTATCGTTTTTTACTATAATTTATTTTATAATCTTTCATTGATGTCTCTAATATTCTTATAATAATAATATGTTCATATTTTTGGAACACATGTTCCTTATGGGACGATGCGGAGGGGTACCCTAACCGGGAAAAACGTCCGTAACGTAAGATTTTTATTAGTAATGCACACAGTGTACGACTCAGCTTTGTAATAACGTACAAAAAATAACATATTTTTTTATCATTCATTGACCACGAACTCAGAGCGTGTTCGTTTGCACAATACAGTATCTCTTATGCAAACAACCGTGAATGAAGTGTACCACAATAAGTTCGCACGTTACTGAATGACCGTGGGTTGTTGCGAAACCTCCAGTTATATTTTCTTTATACCTCGAATATAACTTAAAATTAATATTTTTATAATAAGGAATTCAACTCAAGAAACAAAACATTCCCCAACCCGACTTGTCCTCGTGAGGAATTAGACTGCAACCCTCCACCAAATACAGAAACAGACCAAGACATAAAACAAACCCTCAAAATCTGCACTTATAATGTAAGAACACTTGCATCAACAGAACGATTCCTAGAATTAACGAATGCTCTAAAAATATGAATTGGGACATTCTAGGTCTGGCCGAAATCCGAAAAATAAGATGTAAGATCGAAGAGTATAGCGACCTTATTTTTTGCTATATTGGCGAAACTAAAGGACTACATGGAGTAGGATTTCTAATCAAGAAAAAATATTAAAACAACATCACCTTCCTATAAAGTTTATAGAAATCTTAAAAAGAGTAGCACTTTTACAAATAAAATTTAAGGCCTCTCCTTATCAATAATCCAAGCATACTCATCGACAGAGAGATCAGCAGAAGTAGAGAAATTGAAAAACTTTACAAAGGCATTGAATATGCTCACATTAAGACGGAAGGGAAGGTCATAGTTATGGGAGATTTCAATACGGAAATAGGTTGCCCAAAAACAAACCACTATCCATTAATGGGAAAATATGGTTACGGAGTGAATGAAATTGAATGAATGAAAGAGGTGAACGTCTCTCAAGTTATGCTTACCAACACAAACTGTCAATAATGAACTCATTCTTCAAAAAGAAGAAGAACCGCAGATGGACGTGGTTATCACCAGACCAAAAAACGAATAATGAAATAGATTTTATAATCATAAATCACCATAACTCATAACTAATATCGAGGTACTAGGCAAATTTAAATTCTCTTCGGATCATAGATTAGTGAGAGCATTATTACTTTTAAATAGTCCAGTAAAGAGCAGAAAAACCTGCATAACACCATCTAATATCCCCAAAACGGAAACAGAAATAAAAAACTGTATGGAAAATCTACGAATACACACAGAAAATATAGAAACAGAATGTAATAATATCCAAACATACTACAATATCCTAGAAAGAGGCATAACAGAGAGTTTAAAATACAAAAACAGTGCACATGCTGATCAACACAATATTTTCTGCAAAGACACAGTCCAACTTATAAAAAGGCGCACGGAACTATATTAGATATGAAAGAAGAACTTAGTAGTAGTAGACAAACACTAGAACAGGTTATAGAAAAATACAGAGAATATAAATACCTCTGTATGTGGTCGTCATTGACTACAGTAAAGCTTTCGACAGCATTAGTCACTGTTCAATCTAGAATGCACTACAACAATCAAATATTAATTATAAATACATCAATATCTTAAAATATATCTACACAAAAAGTACGAGCAGAGTTAAATTAGAAACTAGAAGAGACAAGATAAAAATAGGACAAAGAGTTATACAGGGAGATCCTCTTTCCCTAAAGCTGTTTATAGCGGTACTTGAAAATATTTTTCAAAAACTAGACTGAAAAAAAAGAGGAGTGTACATAAACGGACACCTAAGCCATCTGAGGTTCGCTGATGACATTGTTATAGTTACTGAAACTGCCAAAGACCTAGAGGAAATGACGAGATCAATGGACTGCGATAAGCTCAAAAATCGGCCTAGAAATTAATGTAAACAAAACTATGATATTAACCAACAATCACAAACTCTCGATAGTGATAAAAGGCAATAATATAGAATACGTCAGCGAAAACATATATTTAAGGAAGCAAATCTCATTCAAAACGTCAAACAACGAAGAAAAAGTAACAAGAAGAATCAACGCAACTTGGAACAAATTCTAGGCATTAAGAGAAATTCTAAAAGAGAACTACAGCTCGCGTATGAAAAGGACAACATTTGATACATACCTGTTACCCTGTTTGTTGTATGGCTGCCAAACGTGGATATTTACAAATAAAATATAACAAAAGATTAAATGCGGTCAAGCAGCCATGGAAAGGAGCGTGTTGAAAATTAGAAGAGTACACAGAATCAAGAATGAAAACATTCGTCAAAAAACTAAACTTACCGATGCTCTCAGCCATGCACTCTCACTAAGTGGAGATGGGCCCGACACATCTCACGACACCCAAACAAAAGATGGATCATTGATGCCACACGATGGAAAGGACCAATGGGGAAAAGGAATGTTGGTCGACAATTATATTAGGGCGATGGGCTGATTACATAACACACGTCGCAGGAAACGACTGGATAAAATCAGTCAAGGACAGGGAGTCACGAATAAGGATGGAGGAGGCATTTTCCCAAATAGGGGTCCAAATCTCATAAAGAGTACTAATATTAAATAATTAAAATTATAAGTAACCTTTTTAATTTTAAGCAACAACTTCTAACAAACATTGTGCTATAAATCGAGAGTGAGATTTGGATTAAATGGCTTTATTATTATTATTGCTATTACATGCTTACATTATTTTTAAATTTATTTTATCTTATTTTAATAAATAACTTTATTTTTAAACCAAACTTACAACTAATAGGATGTATTTATAAAATTAATAGATACTCTGCATAAGAACAAAATTATTTGTTTTTGTTACTTGGACGCTATAGCAACTTCGCGATAGCGTAATAAAAATTGGAAAATGCATGAAATTAATTTCCACATAATTAAATATACAATATCTCTTTATATCAAACCTTTATTGAATGCAATCATCAGGAATCTTTCAAGCGTTTGCAGTCGAGGAAACTACTTCTAATTGCAAAGATTCAATATCGAAATTAAAAAAGTAATTGTGAACGCAGACATTCATCAATATGCCGCGCCTACATCTATGCATTCCGCACACCGGTTTGATGAGTCGAGTGATAATTGAAAACATTTTTACTATAAAAAAACATCGTTGCTCAAGGTGGATAGCAGCATCATACTTAACATTTTGACCAATGTTAAGTGAATGGCTTTGTTCATGGCGAGACATTTGTGTTTTGACGTGTTATTAGTATTCATATATATAAAAGAGTTAAAATCGAGTTGCCAAAGTGGAAACACTAAATTTAAATGGAACCTGCACGGTCTGCGATTGGTGATTAAAATATCTTGCAAAAAAATAAATATGGAAATTAAATTCTAAATTCGAAAAGATTACGTTGACAGATAGTAATGTTGTGATTTACGATTTTTCGTTTCTGGAATTAGACTTTTTTAGTCTTATATAAATATTTAGGTTCCCCCTCGACCTGGTATGCTTATTCGCTCTAATGAACTTCATGACTTGGAATTTGTTGACCAGTTCGTTTATCTTGGCTCTCTTTGTGGCGAGAGTGGTAGCAAATAGGAGATAGCTAGAAGAATCCAAATGTCCAAAAGAGCGATGAGTAAATACACTAGGATATGGAAAGACCGCAATTTATTCCGCAAAACCTAAGTGAGGTTGGTACGTACCGTCTTGGGCCTCTCAGTTTTCCTTTATGACGCCGCAACCTGGACGAAGTGATAGGAAAAAGATCGATGCTTGTGAAATGTGATTTTGGAGGCTGATGTTGCAAATTCCATGGACAGCGCGCCGGACCAACTTATCCATTCTGAAGGAGTTCGGTATTGTCGCAAGGCTGTCCGCTATCTGCTTCCAACGTATTCTCACGTATTTCGGTCACATCGCTCTTATAGACCCCGATAACTTAAAAAAGCTGATGGTAGTTGGTCAGGTTGACGGGAGATCAAGCGGACGCTCACCTACCCGCTGGTCTGATCAAGTAGAAACGCTCACTGGCCTACCAAAAACCGTGGTTACAAAGACCGCCGAGGACAGGAAGACTTGGGGAAGCATTGTGCATCGAGTGGTGAACATTTCAAACTAGACACGACCTTCAGCAATGAAGAGACCGACTCAGAAGAAGAAGATTTAGGTTCCTCAAAGTCGTGCAATTCGTTTATCACTACTTGCAGTATTGTAAATGTATCACAATTCGAAGTTACCAAAATTTATTGGGCTCTCGTATTTTCATTTAAGGCCACGAAAACTAACAAGCATGGTCGCAATCACTTTTAACTTTAACCTAAAGGTGTCCAGCGCTAAAGACGACCGGCATATCCATCGATGCGATTGTGCTGGTATTCAAATCCCGCAGGAAGGTACAATTTTTTCCAAAGAAATATCTAGGAACTTCTGAGATATTCACAAACGACTTACACATTGATAGTATAGTATCGAGTCACAATGAAACCAGCAAAATTGCTGGTTATCATAGGATATATTGAAAACCCTGACGGGATTACATCGGCTTGAGAGTTCAAT